TTTTTACTTTTTTACTTTTTTACTTTTTACTTTTTTACTTTTTTACTTTTTTACCTTTTTGCTTTTTTGCTTTTTTACTTTTTTACTTTTTTACTTTCTTACTTTTTTTACTTTTTTTGAATGGCAATTAATGAAATGAGATTTTTTCATTGCAGTTATAAATCTATCATAATTTGAACAATCATGCAAATCCATTTGATTTATCATTTGGGAAAGATAACAATAACTGATATATTTGTTTTAGAAGTTATTTTCTAACAATAAAATAAACTTAAATTTGTAATCATATCTTTTAATGATTTCTTTTGCTATATATAATTTATTCGATTACAGGTTTGATAAACTTGTTGGCGGAAAATGCATGGGTGAAGTAGTACGTGTTGTGTTGGAAAAATTAACACGAGCTCGTGTCCTATTTAATGGCAAAGGTTCAGATACACTTTTCAAACAGGATTCATTTCCAACCAAATATATTTCTGAAATCCTCAGGTAAATTCATTTACAAGTGAATAAAGTAATTTTTTCTGGCAAAGTAAAATTTCGATTTTAATTTTACGAAATTTTAAACTCAATAGAATGAAGAAAAAATAGCCAGTTAGTACTGTTTTTTGCTTTAAAGAGAAAAAAAGTAATAAAATTATCAAAATTTTTCCTTATTTTTGGGAGACAATAGAAATAATAGTTTTTCAAAGTTTTATCATGACTTTTTTATTTTTATATGCGTTATATTTTGTAAATTCACGTTTATACACACGCATATAAGCGTTTGATGAAAAATTTATTATGAATGTTTCATGCGCAATGTTTATAATTTTTGACTATTCAAATTTATGCTTAAAATATTACCGTGACAGAATATCAAAAACATTCCTCAACATTTTCTGTTTTCCTTCTTTTCATTACAAATACAATTTTCGGATAACAAATATGCCAAAGGTTAGATTATCAATGATTGGTTTCAATACCGCATTTTATAGGGTATTTTAGGCATGGCTTAGTGATAATACAATTGTTTTGTAAAATAAATATTGAAAGTTTCAGTGATGAAAGTGGTTCATACGTGCATATGAGAGATATATTGGATGAATTGGGTATTGATCACTACAGCTTCAGTGATATGTTACTTCTTCGAGAAGTTTGCATTGTCGTTTCACGCCGATCAGCCAATCTTGGCGCTGCTGGTAATAAAACTTTCGAAACTAATAAAAATGCTGCGAGGAATTAATCGTACTTTGAGAAATTTGTACTAAATTACAGTATCTATTAAAAAGTCAGATTATCAGTGTTGTACACTGATAAGATATTTATTTGGTTTAGAAAAGATTAGATTTAATTAATATAATCAACAGTTCTCCAGAGTATAATTTAATAAAACAAAATATTAAAAAAAGCATAGTAATAATAATATGATGGATAAAATGAAGTTATAAATGAGAAAACAAAAAAACAAAAGCGAATAAAATTTTTTCCACCATTGTTTACAAACAAAAATCATTTACAAACAAAATAATTAAATAAAATTTCAAGCAGTAAAATTGCTTATTTTTGAAATAAATAAACAAAAGATGGATAAATACAGTTGTGTTTGTGGAAAAAGTTGCTAAAATTGATTGCAAAATTATTGGAAATTGAAAATTTATCATTTCTTTAAAATTTAATCAATTGAAATTTTATAGCAATTGCTTGTGTGTTAAATCGTGTTCGAAAACCGAATATGGTAGTTGGAATAGATGGCAGTACCTATAAATATCATCCATTTTTTGACTTTTGGGTTCATGATAAATTAAAGGAGCTCGTCGATCCGGGCCTTAATGTTCGTATTGCATATGTTTTATTGATAAATTTTATCATTATTAGATTAGATTATGATAATTATTGTCTTTTATCTAATTATACTGTGAATGATCGTAATTGAGATTTAGACTATTTGGATTTTTTTCTTCTCTTCGAAAATAGATGAATTAATTAAAATTGAATTTTTTAATGGTTGACTTTGATTGAAATGAATAATATCATCATTGTGCTGAAATAAAAAGTAACTTGCTAAATCACTTAATTATGATTACTAATTTTATTTTATCATAGTTATAAGAACTAATAATAACTACCCAAGTGCTATTACATGATAATGATTATATAACTGATAGATAGATGAATAATTTTAGAATATATTTAATTATGTGTTGTTTATTGGTGGCGAAAAAAATTTTAATACTTTTTGCAGTTCAAATTGTTACAAACAGCTGATGGTAGCGGTAAAGGTGCAGCGTTAATTACAGCAATTATTTCACGGTTGAAAAAACGTGAACAACAACCACAACAACAACCACAACGACAACCACAACCACAACAACCACGACAACATATGGCTGATGGACACGTAAAAGTGGCGATGGGAGAAAATGTTGAAATGAAAGGAAGCCGCAAGCAGCCATCATCCATGAATGAAAGTCAAAAAGTTGATTTGATGATAAATGATATGCCAACCTATGATAGCTTTAATGGTGAAGTAGAAAATGCTATGATTCATTTATCCAATCCGTAACAATGTGAATTATTGATTTGTTTGTTATCATTTTAAGGTATAATTTAATTAATTTTGGTAAAATGTGAAAGATTTAAAATGATGGTATTGTGGTTGAAAATATAAATTTACCGAGATGAAAATTATTGAAATAAATTTAAAATGAGCAAAAATATTAGAGAAAAAAGAACATAGATTTCTCAAATTCATTGCAGTTTTAGAATTTATTTTAGTATTTTCTTTTTTTACTGTAATTTTACCGTGAATATGCCATTTTTATTTCTTAATCTAACTTTTTTCTTTTGCATAGTTTACAAGCGATTATTTTATGGTTTATTATTTTGTTTACCTCTAAAAGTAAATTTTTTCCATTAAATAACCACTATTTTGTTAAAATTAGATTTTCTTCCCATTTAGCTGTAAACTTAAAGCTAAGAGAAAAATTTAAAAGTAAACTTAAAATTTTTGAATTAATATTTTTTTATTTGCTCACTTGATGAAAAAAAAATTACGGGTTCTATAAGAAAATATTTTAATTACAATATTAATTACTTGATATCTTTGCATGCTTGTATAAATTACGATTAACAAGAAATGAGTTATTTAATTTTCCTTCATGTTTAAAATTAACCTTTACATTTTTTTTATGTATTTTTCCTGTACATTTGTTTTGTACCGTAAAATTTTCATCTTTCACAATAAATTTTACCAATTTTTTTAAAATATCACAGTTTCAATAAATTCTTAAAAAAGTTTATCGTTAAATTACTTTCTTGATAATATTTAAATATTTTAATATACAAATTAATGAGTCATCGTCGACTTCTGTTGCGAATAGTTGAAAATTGGTTTGAACCAGGAGAGCTATAAACTGAACGCAGTCGAGATTCTTTTAGTGAAGGTTGTTATCTCGTGAGAGGGATTTCAACGTTATAAACCAGAAGAATTTTAAGGATTCTTTATTATCAACATAGAGTAATACAGTAAATAATATAACAGAATATTTAGTACCAATTAATGAAATTGCAAATAAAATTTACAGAATAGAATCAGTAGTAGAAACGAAGTGAAGTGAAGCTGAGCCAAGATTTGCAAAGAGCCCACAGCTCATGATCATAGTGCCTTTAAAGGCTGAGGCTGAGTTATTGAGGGCGTGTTAGGTTACAATTTGATTGAGGATTACGCTGAGAATGAATAGTTTTTAAAAGAATTTATAAGCAATACAAGATTAATCATTTGATTGGAATGGTTAGGATTAGGTTATTCGAAGAAAAAGAGAAATATTCAGATATAATTCAGATATAAAATAGTTCTTATAATGGGAAAGTTATGCTTACCGGAAACATTGTAAAGATTCATTTACTACAAGTAATAATTCATTAAAGAGATTTTCATGAGCGTCGATGATCATTTTATTCTATTTACATATTTATTTAGAAATTAATATCGAGAGTTTTCTTCCGAAAATGTTGTGAAGTTGGAATAAAATAGTGTGTGTGGCACAATATGCTAATGAACATCTGAGGAAATAGCACAAGTTAGTTGTCAGATATATGTTAATGAATGTCGTGAATGGAATTTCGAGTTTGTATTCGATAACTTCCGAGAAAATATGATTCTTCTTTTTTTTTTGAAAATTACGTAAATTAGAATTTTTTATTAGTCCGATAAACTTATAATTATGTTAATTGAAGAGTAATTTAAAAAAAAAAGATATCGAAATGAGTGGTGAGTTAAAATTGTTTGTAACAAATTTTCGATAATCAATATTTCATAAAGTCGTAAACGGACAATTAAACAATAATAATAATTATGTAATGTTAGAATCAACTAATTTCTAATTCTTCCTTCATGTTTAAATAGTTTTTAATTATGTTCAAATGATTTTGAATTATGTAATTGAAATCATTTCCGTTTATTTTATCTCTTTATTTTATCTTCTTCAATTAACACAGCAATAATTAACATTTACATATTGCTCACATTTTCTTTTTTGTATATTTGCAGAATTTTTTTGTGCAACTGAAGGTTTAGCTATTCTAATCGATCGGTTTAATATTTTACAATTTTAATAATATTATTTAGAGTGGCATAAAATAAATTTCAATGCTTCAAGTGTACACGCATAAATGAGAAGAGAGAAAACAGATGAGAAAAAGACTCCAAACACTTTGAGAAATTGAATTTAAATTTGCTAAAATTTTCAAAATGACTTTTATAAGTAGTAGACGAAATTAGCAATATATATGTCATTAGTTACAATCATTTATTTTCAGTCGTAGCTATCATTTCATAAATTACTAATAGAAATTCATTTACGATTAATGTTCTATTCCTTAATTCAATTAACTTGAAGAAATAGAGTATTCAATTTTTTGCAATTTCAAACCAGTTTTTTAGCTATAATTATGTAAAGAAATCTTCAATGTATTATACTACAAGTTACCTTATTGTTCAAAACCTGAAAATGTTTAAATTGGAACAAAATTTTTCCTTTTTTTTTCGAATTCCTTTTTAAAAGCTGCTAAAATTTCAAGAAAAATAAAAGAAACAAAACATTTTGCTGCTGAATTGTTTGCACTGTTCAAAACTATGTCAGGATGAAGAAAAATAGAAATGGTAAATTTGCATTTAAAATAGATCATTTTAAAAAAATCTTAAAAGTTGGAGATTTATGATTATAACATTTGCTGATTCTTTCAAGTCAGTTCTGATAAACGCCAAATTTCTTGAATTCAACGACATGCACATACTATAGTATTCATATTTCACAGTGATATAAATTTCATTTTTAAAAAAAAGAAAAAGGAAATTTGATCGTTTGGAACAGAAAATAAGGATTGGAAAATAATAAAATAATCATCGCTGATCTATCTCAATTTTTCTTACCTTGCAAGAAAAGAGTATTAAAGTAATAAATAATTTTAAATATAATCTTAACTATTAGTTTGCTTTTCATGCAAAAAAAATTACTCTACAATTTTTATGTTAAAAAAACACTCATTTCGAAGCAATTTTAAAATTAGTCACTTTATTGATTGTAAATGTATGTGATAAACATTAACATTTTTCACTTCCTTACTTTTAATTTTTACTACTGAACCTTGGAATTTCTCAATATTTTTGAGTGTCATCCATGAATTTTTATTTTTTTTCGTTTAGAAGTAACAAATTTTTATGTATTTAATGTTGCGCAAATCATAGCAAAACTGTTGCTTTTAAATTTTCAATTGTTCATTTTAAATTTGGAATGAAATATAATAGAAGGGAATATAACATCGCTGAATGACTCATATTATTGATTAGTTCGTCAGTTGAACTGAGAATTTCAAAAAATTGAGAAATGTTTAAAAATAAACAAAAACTGGATTCTGTTGCTTATCAAAATCCATTTAATTTTCTCCAAAAAAAAACACTTACTGATCAGAAAATTTAATACCTTAAATTCATTCATCATTCTTGTATTTTAGCCTGTTTCATAAAATTAACAAAATAAACCTAAATTTGTAAATTTACTGAAGGCTGAAAGTAAACTGTGAAAAAATATGCAGGTTATAAGAGAAATTATAAATTAACAAATTCAAAATTTTCTTGACAGATTCAGTTTCAGTGATTTCTTTATAACATATACACCTACCGTTATTACAAAACAGTACAGCTTATTTACTCTTTTTGTTTTTTTTTTTTACGAATTTTATCATAAAGCATTTGGAAAAAAAGATTTGATGAATAATTATTTTGCTTTCAATTTGAATATGTAAACAGTTTTATTACATTAAAAAAAAAAAACATTTAAATGTATGAATAAATCGTTCATTATGAACAAATATTCACTTTTTTCAAATTTTATAATTTCAGTGTAATTGATTTAAGAGAAATTAACCAGGTTTATTGTTGAATAATTTATTTGATGTTGTAATAACTCTTATTTGTCAATATAATATAATAAGCATAAAACAAAAAGGTATGAAATATTTATCAAAAAATTTGTCAAAATTATCAAAATGTTGAAACTGATATAAAATAAAGAAAAAGTTACATTTTGAATGTTTAAGCAAATTAATTAGGAGATATCTAACCGATATTATCAGGAGATGAATAATTGATTCATTATAGCACTCATACAGACAAAACATTTGTAAAAATAATTATAAGATTGTAAAATTGGCAGTTATTACAAAAGCGCTAATTAGCTACTATTTAGCTCTCCAAGTGATTCGTGCTGGTAAGGTTAACAAATATCCGTGATCATAAATGTAAATTCGCTTATCATAAGGATTGTATGATATCATATTAGCATTTCGATAAAGATTAATCCAATGAATGTTTGGCTTACGGTATTTATTACGATAGAGATCGTATGCTATTGCTATTTCACTCTTTAATTCATACGAACTTTTTACCTGCAAAAATAAAAATATCAAATAAAAATTGATAATTAATGATTGCATTTTATTATGTAATTGTTTCAGTGGCTAATATAAATTTACCTTTCATTCGCTATCAATTAAATGAACAAAAATAAATTGAAAAGTAGCAATTTTCATATATTTTGTGAATCAAAAAAATTGTTAAAATTTTAAACAAACCAAATACAGTACACCACATACGACAAAACCATTTGCCACTTCGGTATGATTAATCAAAGTTAAATTCCAAGTTTCATAAATAGTTAAATTGCTAATATCCAATTTAGCTACAGACAAATACTCTTCATCTTCATAATGAAATAGCACCCACAATGCATTCTCATCCACAGCCAGATCAAAATAATTCATCGATAAATTAAAAAGGTACTAAAAGAAATTTTCGTTGAATTTTTTCAAACTTCAACGAAAAAACATATCGCGAAAAAAATTTTGAAAATGAAAAATGAAATTTTATGATAAAAGAGATGGATGCAAATAAAAATTTATTGCGTCTTCTAAATTCAACAAAAAATTTTTAAAATGTATATTCAAAAGAAAAAGTTTAATGAGTAGAAATTTTTTGAATAAAAATTTTTTCCCTCCGCATAAATAAAAGTAAGCTTACATTATTTCCTTTATGGGCCGCATGCTTATCAATTAAGACTTCATTATAAACTTTTGAATGTAATTCATATTTTCCAATTTTAGGAGTGCCAGCACGATGGAAATATATTGAGCCATTGAAAAATATCAAATTTGTTCCATCATATAAATAAGGCATATGATGTCTAAAATTCGAAATGACTAATTAAAACTAATCATTTCTATTTATTTTTATTTAATTTTAATTAATCATTTCCAATATATTTCCTACAATACTTTGTTAAAACGTACAGCATCATTTGAACCACTGAATTGTTTTGGATTTACTTTCAAAAAATTTATTTTTTTAATTTCAAAATTATTGAACATGCGATATTTTTCCAACTGTCTCACTCACAATCTTATCATTTAATTTGATTGACAGAAAAATTTCTTGATTTAATTGATTAATAAACGCTAGTGATTTTACGGATTACTTAAAAAATTGTGTAGCATTTATACCTCACTGTACTTGAAAATTATTTAAATCATTGTTAATATATTTCAACTGATTATTACTGAATTGAAATATTAAGGATGAGAAAAGTGAATCGATAGCTAACGTGACAAAAATGCGCTGTCGTCGCATATCGCCTTCATCCAAATACTCCTCCACTATATCACCTTGAAAATGTTTTGTCATCCAACGTTTCATCATATTCTTTAATAAAAAATTATTTGTTATTGTTTAAAGAAGAGCATTTGATGATAAAATAAAATGGCAAAAACCACAAATGATCAATCAATAAATTGCATCTTTCATTATTAGCCATAATTGTCTTCTTCAGAAAGCACTACGAAAACAGGCGAACCTGACCATTTTGTGGATAAGCATCACGCATCCATGATCCGTAATAGGTATTAGAATGAGCATGAAACATCGGTTTACCAACATCATCCAAATAACAATCTGTAATTAAAAATTTTTTGATGTAAGTAATTATTCAAATAAATCTTTTCAAATAATTTATCACAATAACAACAAAAACATTACGATATTATTATTGGAAAGTTTTACTTATTATCATAATTGTAATTTGACTGTTATTTCAACATTGGAAATTTTAAAAGTTGGAAGGAGAAACTTACGTGCTGTTGCTCCTTCGATATACGGTATTTCAGTACTGGTTGCTGAGATATCTGCTTCATATGGTATTGTTACATTTGGTAGACAAATACGAATACATTTATCAATTTCCGGTATTAAATCAGTATCATTTAAAAGCATCTGTTAAAATAAAATACATTTACTTTTATCGCATAATATTATTTAAGTATTTGAATGAATTGAAAAATGTAAAAAAAAAATGAAAAATGACAAAACACACAACTCTAACAAAATATGGTAGCTGACGATCGGTATATCGCGGTCCACCTTCACCATCAGGTGTTCTTTGTGTTGGACATTTCATTGGCTCAATTTTTGGACATTCCGTTTTACGAAGCATTTCAAAATTTTCCGCAACCGGACATTTTGGACAAATTCCAGGTTTTCCGGGTATTCCAGGTGGTCCTATAATTTTTGTAAGTTTTGAAACCTTTTTCTATGCTAATTGCAATGTATCGGTATAATGCAAAATATATACTGGAGAATACATGTGATGATGATGGTTGAAAATAGAATTAGTACCTCGTGGACCAGGAGGTCCAGGTAACCCCATTAGACCATCTCGTCCGGGTGGTCCAGGCTGACCAGGATTTCTAGAAATTACATAAATTTCATTGTTGTAAGACTGTTTTACTGGAAGTGTAATTCGCATGGTAACATACCCAGATAATCCAGGTGGTCCAACTGGTCCAGGTGGTCCACGACTAATACCTGATTTCTCCGTGCAATACTGATGTATTTCTAAGCATTTTTCAAGCAATTCGTTAGCCTAATGAAGCAAACTAACTTATATATTTTAAAAAGTTCTTTTTTAAGTGCAAAATAGAAGAGAGTTTCCTCTTTTTTAATACCAATATTATAAGATAAAGTCAAATTCAAAAAATGTAAGCAAATTTTAATTAAAAAATGAACTGTTTGGTTTGTTTTTGGAAAAAGCCTATTATTGAACCTTAATTTTTGATGTAGAATGTATCAAAACGTCATGTTTTGATGTATTTAACAAAGGTTGAATGGATGGCGATGGTATTAGGTCACGCCGAATACGTTTCAAATTTATTTCATTTTTCATCAACCGACACTTTATCTTCACATCACCGATACGTGAGTAAATATCAGCAAATGCTAATAAAGTTAATAGCATGCAAATCGTCTGACAGTATTCCAGCCAGCGAACTTTTTTTAAATTTCTTTCTTCATCTAACATTTTTGCTGCAAAATAGACAAATCATTCATCTGACACTGTACAAGTGATCAATGATCATCAAATTAATTTTTTAGATTATGGAATTTTGAAAAAGTTTACGATTTCCAAGCGATTCATTTGTTCCACTAATGGACTCTGCATTATTGTTATAATTAATTATTCGAATAATATAATCAACTATTAATAATTAATTGAACTATTAACTATTAAAATAAATCAAAGATGAGAAATTAATCAATAAATTTATTGCTAACAAATATCCTTTGACCTTTTGTTGATAATTATTAATGTACAGTGAGAGATAGAAGTAAGGAAGTTTAAATATGAATTATTGAAAAATTGATAGTAAATGCAATATAATATTAGCGATTGCAAGGCACATTTGTTTATTAAATTGCTCAGTTTCTGTTATGTAAACAATAACAGAGCACGAACTATGCCAACAAGACCGTCGGTTCAATTATTGGTAATTACGATTTAATTTCAAGTACTTAATCAATTATTAATGTATTAATTTCAACGAGATAATTATTAATAATTGCAATAACTATTAGTACTCAAATTGCTAATATTTTTTCTATTGGTGCTAAAATTCCTGACATTTTCCCATTGATACTCAAATACCTGATGCTTCTTCCATTGGTACTCAAATTCCTGATATTTTTTCCGTTGGCGATAAAATATTTTATAATGTTTTTTTATGCAACTGATATAATTTGAGAACAAACCAAATAAACAAATATCAGTGTTATGACATAATATTAAATTTCAAAGCACAAAATGTATCAAAATCAAAGAATGAAATACAGAAAATTTATAAAAAATAATATCACAAGCAGTAAGCAATCGAAGTAATTTATATATTTATACAATAACTTTTAAAATCATTTAAAATAATTCTATAATTCTAAAATAGATGAGAAACAATCTTACAAGTAAGTCCATATCAAAAAATAAAAGCAAAATTCAGTAAGATCTAAAGAAAAAAGATTAACATAATATCAAATAAATGAGTAAAATTGAAAATCGGCAGTTTAATTCAAAAAATATATAACGAAAGACTAAATCAAATGATAAATTTAAAACAAAAATGTATGACTAACAAAAATGTTTGACTAAAGAAAAATGGTCATTTTTGAAAGCATTGTATAAAAGGAATAAAAGAAATGCTTTTATGAATTCACCCCTTTTATGAATATAAATTTCAAAACAAATGAAAAAAAAGTAAAACTGTGATTTTAATACTTCAAAGCATTTTATTTGAAATTTCCCTTTTACTCTTAAAGCAGAAATTATTTAAATAATGGAAGATAAAAGCTTCTCGAAACAATTCAGAATTCGAGGAGAATGGTAATCCCCAACAACCATTTAATTTAATATGTTGAAATTTTTGTCTGTTTGAAAAAAAAACCAACCAGTGATAAGCATTGTTATATAAGAAATCTGTTATTAAAAGATGACAATGATTAAGTTCATTTCAAGTAGAATAACAAATCTCTGATGATTTTTCAAAAATCACTATCGCCGTTGACTGGCAACCAATTTTAAATGCTTTTCAAAATCATATCTCGAATTAATAATTGTCTTATTAAGCCAACCTTCTATCTCAACGTTACTCCTTATAAAAGTATCTTTATATTTCCAATTTAGGGAAACTGTAGTAAAATTAGTGCAGAGTGTGAGATTAAAATTATGCGATACGAATGGCGAAGGCCAACCACCAAATGTAATCCGATCAATTCTTCTAAAATAATGGTTTGATTGAATGAAAACAATACCCTTATTTATTATTAAAATAAAGATAATTCCGGATATTGTACAAACTGCACTTTTACTGAGTTATTGCTCAGGTAACAAACTTAAAAAGCACTTCTTCAGGAAATTTAAATGTTAAAATAAGAGAGATCTTTTATATCTTTTCAAAAGAATTCTGGAAATTTTACATAACTAACCGTTTTTGCCAACCATGCAGGATGAAATCTCGTTCACTCCACATCGAATCTGTAAGCCAGGTATCACGAGCCCATGCTTTACCTTTTGGAATAATGCGCAATTGGTTAGGCCAAATTGTTGCTTCATTGATAATGTTACGAACACAAACAACGTAAACATTTAAATCATCAAAATTCCTGCAATAATTTATAGCGGTTGAATGTAAAGTTTAAAATGCGAAAAAATTTTTAGTGACATTTGATATTTTATGACTAACACAAAAACGCTTTATTCAATAAAGTAATGAATTTAATAATGAATGACATTTAGAAATATTATAAAGCAAATAAAATTTGTGAATAGTTTGTTAAAAATTAATAAATGAATATATGTTCGAGCAACTATTACAAATAAAAAGGAGCAGAAGGGAATGGATAAAAAGTATCCTTTCGAGAAATCAATTTATGATAAATAAAATTTGATTTTAACACTTTTAATTGGAATATTCATTTCGATATTACAATTAAAACATTATGTCTGTTAGAGACAAATTATCAAAAATTTAACATAACATTCTCGAAAATAACTATTTCAAAATCCTTATGTATAAATTCTATTTTAAGAATATGTGAAAATTACAAACTTTGCATTCATCCAAATGCTTTCACAAAACTCTCTTTCGTTTACTCTTTCCGGGAATATAAGTTCGAGCAAAACATTCTGTAAAATTAAATTTTATAAGAATTATAAAAATAAAACAATAATAGATTGTATTGGTTTATCTTATCAATTAGTTTTAATTCGACTATATGTATCAAGTATTGTCTACGTGCGTGTGTGTGTGTGTGTGTGTTTTTTTAAATCAAAAAACAAGAAATCTTAGCTTGGAAAAATAAATCATTCGATACGAAGGCCTATAGTAACAAATAAAAAATATAATCAGTAATTTTTCTAATATTTATGAGAAAAAAGAGACAAACAAATCTACTTGGAAAGTAGAAAAGAGCAATTGTCACAAATACAAAATAAATACTTATCATAATTAATCTAAGTATGTCCAATATTGATAATGAAAATTAACTTACATGAATTGCGCCATTGTCTGAACCAAAACCTTGAAATGGCAATTTCAGTCCATAGTTTGCCCAAAATTGAAGAAATTTTCGGGAATATGGAGTGTTTCTGTAAATTATTAAAACTCTGAGGTCAAAATGACACGTAAGCTATCTGCGGAATCTTGCAATAGTTACTAAAACTAAAGCATTTTAAATAATAATTTACTTTTTTTTCCATCATTTAATAATTGCTACATTAAATGACCATTAAATGTCCGTGAAAATATTCTCAGCACATGACAACTAACATTTAATAACTCAAATTTCTAAATAAAAACATTCCTGATCATATTACAAATATTTTTCAAGGTTTCTAAAATTTCTTAATATGATAAGTGATAAAGAAAAAAAAAACAAAATGATGATAGCTAACTTAGCTAAATAACTTCCAGCCATCACTTCATGATTGAAAATTCGATTGTACAAGATCAGATTTACATTATTATCAATCCATTCTTCGATCAAATGATTAGGATTAATCACTCCCATATCAGCATCAATAAATAGGAACCACTGAATGTCATTTGCATCCTTCATTACTTCTGCTGTGACACAGTGTCGAGCAAACATAAACTGAAATTTTTGTCATTTTGTTTTTTTTTTGTCAGACTAATTTATCAGTGTATCATTCTTATCACTATCATTTGTGTAATGTGGAATTATTTGGCTGAAATATTAGTCAGCTTGTTGAAGGCATAAAAAAAAGCAACGATAAAAGTATCAATGAGATCTTATTACTCTTTTTACTAACTCACCTCTCATACCTCTGAACCTTTTCTTTATCCCTGTACTCTAAAGGACTTAGTAAATAACTATCCCACGTACAACGCGGGATAATCATCTACCAGTTTTTTATTTTTAGCAATTGATCACTCAACTACTCATCATTTCTGGCTCCTCCCCTAATATTTTTATTATTTATTTGCCTGATTTATTTATTTATCGTTAAATGTAACCAATTATTGTTGTCCTAATTGGTCAAGCAAAAAATTCATTAAATAATCGAATGGAATGAATTACTATCAATATGTATCGTTTATACGATTACGGTCCGTGTAAAAATATGGATCGTATAAATGATAGATATTGATAGTATTTGTTTATATGGTCCGCAAGTGGTCATTTAACTAATGGTCACTCACTCGTTTACCTACACTTTTGCTTACTCGTATATTAATTTAGAGCATAGGTTAAGCTTTCAATCTCTATCCTTCCGTTCTTTTCCAAATATTTTAATCTTTCCTTTCTCCCTCTTTCCAGATCTATCATCATTATCATCCATTGTCTTATCTTATCAAACTACATATTACCTACTTAATTATTAATATTCATGATTACAGGATTATAATAATGATTATTCATTCTCATTTTCCCGTTTGTTATCACTAACGATTAGTAGTTATTTTGAAAACAAAAAGAAAAGAATTACATCTCCGTGTGGACATAATCTTTGTAATGTAACATTTGCCGACAAATCAATAATAATCCATTTATAATTATGATATAATGCATAACATTCGAAGCTTTCCTGTGCTAAACGATATTCCTCGTCATTATTTCGATTCAGTAAGACAGTAATTATTGCTATCGAAATTGATTTTTGATCTGAAATTTTTGATTTGATCATTTCACAAACTTATTGTTTTTTGATTTGAAATCTTTCAATTATGAAGAATATACATTAAATTAATATACGAAAACTATCATCCTTTCATATTTATCAAAAAATTATTGATACACAGATAGGATTGCAAGAGACTATGGAAAAAAACCAAATTTTAAATTTTACACTCTCACCAAAAATTTCAAATTTGATATTCCTTCGCGATCATATGAATGATGAAAACAAAAATTTTATTTTTTTCCAATTCCGGAACAATTATCATTTAGAAAAAGAGAAAGCATGAATATATAAAAATCATTTTTTCTAAGATCTCCATCATTTTTTCCTCCTCTACATTATCATCATGGCAATTATTTACAGTGACATCGAGAGTTTTTTGAAGTTTTACAGTGATAAAAAGAATGTTTTTTTAATTTGTTTTATCTTTTTTCTTTACAAACTCTTATCAGTCCTAGGAAAGATTGATCACGCAAATTCATCAAATGAATACCGTTCATATTATGAAACAAAAAGGAAAAAAATTTTGGAAAATGATCTACCTTCAGATCTTTTAACAGTAATATTACGAATAATCGTAGTACTATAATAATTCTTGAATTGATAGTAAATGGTCACATAGACCTCCTCATAAATGACCAATGCAAAAATGAGGGGCGTGAAGAGAAGCGCCCATATTCTTTTGCGCCTTCGCATTTGATAGCAACAGCTGGTTTTTTAATTATACGACAAAAAAATGTACCTCGTTTCTCACCAACTGCTAGCCTTCGTCGTAAGACCTTCCTAAAATCGATAAATTTCAACTTTTTTATTTTTGTTTTCAACCATACATTCAATTCCCTTTAAAAAAAAACTTAAAAAAAGACGTTTTTTTTTTTCTCAGAATTTACTAAAATAAATTTAGCTGTATTAAAATTAACGTTTATTTTGGGAAAATCAAAATTCAATGCATTAAAATTTTATTAATATACAATAGCATAAGAATATAATATATGAGAAATAAATAATTCGTATCGCGCTCATAAATTAATCGAATTCCATTATTCAATTTTTCCTCAATTCGATTTTGATTTTTATAATCCATTTGAATGATATTTCTGCCAAAACAAATTCTGCTGAGACAACATTAATCGATTACTCTGTTGACCTTTCTGTTATCGCTTTATTGACCTTTTTGTGCAGCTATGAATCACTTTAATTAATGTTATTATCGTTATTGGTGTGCTCGTAATATGCAAAAAATTCATAATTTTTGCGATTTAACTTGGAAATTTTTTTTTGATAAAGTCTCAATTTTGAATTGAATTCGAATTTTCAAAAACTTTTTACAACTAAATGAACTAATGAAATTGAAATTAAATTGTTCATTTTGAAAGAATGCATTTCACTCTGATATTATAAGAAAATGATTGTACTTATAAGAATAAGTGTCATTTAGAAATTAACATTTTGAAATTTCATAATGAATTACTTGAGAAAGAAAATTGTTGTCATCTCTTTTTGAATTTCGAAGTTTCAGTGGTGAAAATTTGAGTTTATGCTCGAATTCTGTTTTTATTTTGATTTTTTATTTTTCGTTTCAGACCATTTTTTCCTCTTTTCTTCTTCCTCGTCTTCTCACTTTCAAAATTTTTAGCTTCTAATTCGATATACTTTAATCCATTTCTTGCTTATCAAATATCAATGCATTTTCTTCGACATTCTTACTATTCGGAAGTTTTTTTTGAAATCAACCTTTTGTTTTAGCAAATTTTTTAATTTTAATTAGACAATATTAAGTGATAAAAATTGTTCCAAAAAAAAATGAAAATTTTTTTTATTAGAAAGAATAGTATAAAGTTTAGACCGTTGTGGTTACATTATATACAACAGAATAGTACGTGAGAGAAAAAAAAATCGAAATTAAAATCATTTGAAGTTTATAATGAGTGGTACACCGAAATTTGAGAAAACTTTTGAACTTTTTTTTTGAAATTCTCTCCGAAATTTTAAAAATTTTGCGAGATACGATAAAGTTGAACTTTTTTTGAGGAAAAAAAAATCGAACAGAGCAGAGTTTAAACCCAAATTTCCGAGTATGCCGGAATGAGTTTGTTGAAATTTTCGATTAAATTCTGGTATTGATCGATTCAAAGCAATACATATTTGTGGAATGAATGATTGTGGCGGCAGCGGTGAATGGCTCAAAGTGTAGCAAATGTAATGAGCAGAAATTATCAATTGAAAAGCAACATAAATGCATATGTAAACGATTGAGCTGATAGAAAAAAATTAATAATTCTTTTTTTGCTTTGAATTTCTATTATATAAGAGAATGAAAATTTCCCAAAATACCGGGAATGAGATATTAGTTAGTATTACTGAATCGAATTCCAAATCACTCTTTTTTTTTTTACGAAACTCAATCACCAGCCATGGACTCAACATACTCTTTGGTTAAAAAATGAAAATGAAAAATTAGCAAGCAGTAAAATTATAGTCAATTATTCATAAAACAGAATACCTAAATAATTTTAATGGGAAAATTTACAAAAGAAATTAATTTTTACTGGAAGTTCTGAAAATTTCCAGGGAAAAAAACTTCCAGGATAACTATAAATGAATTTATATGCGCTCCAATTTTTTCGAAGTTAATCAATTAATTAGTCATCTCGAACATCTTCGATATTTTAATGAGAATGAGTTATTGATTGAGTTCCATTTCAATTTTCTTCCATATTTTCAAAAATTTTTTGCAAATGGATAGATAGCATTATGTAAATATTGATAGAGAGAGAGGGAGAGGAAGAGGAAAGAAAACAAATTGAGGAAGAAATGTAGAAATTTTTTTCAAAAAAAACTAACAGTTTCAACGGTAGATAAAGAAAGATCAATGGAATTCAAAAAAAAAATGGAAAAAGAAAGCAAAGTAGTTTAGGGCCATGGCAGGCATTTCTAACGCTAACATACAAAAACAAAAACAAGACTTACTGTACTGTAAGGATCGCAGAAGATTAGGACAAGAGTTTATATCTGGTAGATACACTGTAAACAAATAAATTTGGAAATTTCGAATTTCATTTATTTTTCTGCTCTCATTTTCAAGCAATCAATTTTTTCCTTGTTTAGTTTTTAGAGCTTACTCATTTCTGTTAATAAATAATTTCAACAAGTTCAGAAACTTTCTCTTAAGCAGAAAAATAATTTTTTTGAATACAAAGACTTTTTTTGGAACAATAGCGAAAAATTAATAAATAAATATAACATCTGATTCAAGAAAAAAAAACAACTACTTATTACAATATTTTGTTTCCTGTGAAAATTTTATTATTAAAAATTCCAAATTTTCTCGAATCATCAGAAAACAAAATAAGCCTGGCCATGGCAAATACCATTTCGTCAACATCGTAAGCTTATTTTAAAAATAGCTTAATTTGATGCTAATATACTATCGTACTTAAGATTTAGTGCTTTAAGGAAAAAGTGCTTTAAAAATAATTTCAAAGAAAAAAACGGAAACTTCTAAAATTTGAAAAATTTAAATTATTTAAAGGCATGATAATCTATATCTATACTGATTAATTTTCTGTTGTAAACTTAATTATTTCGTTAAAATGATTAGTGAATAAACTTGAAAAAATAATTTCGAAAGATATGGAATATGTTTCTTTTTATTTCTAAGTTTTTTTAAGTTGATCATACGTAAGCCAACGCGTGCGCAGTACGTGAGAACATTCCAGTTGCTGAGACAGATCAAGTCGTTTTTTCAACACTTCGGATCCGATCACCTGATTGAACAATATTGCACATACGGAGGCATCTGTGAGGATGAAAATCATTATGGTGATTGAAAATTATCATGAATGTGATAGTTGATAGTAATGTTTAATTATGATTATTAAATATACGCTGTAATTTATTTCCATCATTTTTGTATGAACTGTTCAGGAAATATTTACGAATAATTTCATTTATGACCTCTGTCACGAAAGTAGCGAAATTTCAAGAATATTATAAATGGTCAAGTGTTTAAATATATATATACACATATATTCATAGATTTAATACTGTCTTAATACATGTTCATAGCGTCAATTATAATG